TCATTTCTAGAACAGGGGCTCCAGGGAGTTGCTTTGAGATGTAAACGAGATAGTACACAGATGGAGTTTGGATGTTGCTGGCACATGGTAGAGGTTCACTAAATATTATCTGCTGTTCTTGCCTTTATTGTGTTTGCTGTGAGACAAGGAGGATGGAACACCACCTTTAGAAAGGGCCCATCCTGTTAAGGCACAGAGGTGTGAGAGACAGGGAAGTGGTGTAGGGGTAGGGACAGGATGGAATCAGGTGCACTTGTCAGGGAAATGGGAAAATGAAAGTGAAAAGAGGAGGTGTCCTGAGCCCTGGGCAAGGGGAGCAGGTGGTCCAGATACTGAAGGATATGCACACAGGCCTATGATGACTCAGCCTGCAGGAGCAGCCATTACTGCAACAGTGGGTGGGTTTGGCGCCCAGACCGTGATCCCTGAGAGATGAGCCTCAAAGTGAGGTTGGCCCACAGCTAAACCTAGGCCGGCCTTAAAGGAAGGGGCTTTTTCTTGAGCAGGACCCCAAGGCTTCTGAGGTCATCCTTGTCCTGCCAGCAATTCCTTAAGGCTGCCAACAGTGACCCCCTGTGGCCACCAGGAGCAACACTAGTGATTCCTTGAGAACAGAGAGCTCCCCATGCCAGTGTGAACCTCACCATGACTCTACTTTGGGACAACATAAAGCCCCAGGGATTCTTGAGCAACTCAAGAGGAGAGAGAACCCCTAAGCAGGATATGAATCAGACGTGGGGAGTCAGGATGGCATTATCCTGGGTTGTAAAATCAAAATTATGTGGCAGCCGCAGTTTGAGGAGCAGTTCAAACTGGTTATGTCCAAAGAAAGGCCGCACATTTTCTGTCCCGTCAGTGGACAGAAAGGGCCCTTCTGTGTTATCCGTGACCTTTCCTTCCAGCTCCAGACTCCATCTCCAGACCATACCACATCTCCACAAGCCTCTTGAGGTTCCACCTGCCTCAAGCACACAGCATTTCAGAACCCCTTACACTAAACCCAGACTCCAGAGCACACTCCGTGCTGGGACGGCAGAGAATGGAATCAACACAACTGAACCCCGTCCTGAGTGTGAGCTCACATTTTCTCACAGCTCTGACAACAACCCGGCAGGGGGTAAGACCACTGGAGTGCAGGTTGTGGGCTAGGGACCACAGTCAGAATCACACGGTTCAAGGAGGGAGGGAAGAGGTTAACAATAATATAGTCCCAAGTTTTGTACAAAATGTCATTTATCACGTCTTGCTGGCTCCTCTCTAAATCTCTGGACAACTAGATGTTACCTAATGCCACACTCCTACAAGTTCACAGTTGAGAAATAATTAAATGAATTTTTGCCTGATACATGCAGAGCTTCCCAGAAGCCAGAGCCTGGTCTGCTTTTTGAACTGAATAACTAACTCTGTGTTCAAGAATACTAAAGGAAACAATTCCCTTTTTTTTTCTAACTAGGAGAATTTAATTTAGGTGTTTTATCAAAAACTGCTGCTCCCAGTAGATTAATGGCCCACTGTATCTTTCATATTAAATTAACTGAGTACAGAATGGCTTTGCTGCATTTGAATGACAGGCTCCAGAGTTTAGCTCATCATTCTTTAAGAAAGCATAAAATGAGGAGCCAAAATCATGAGGCTTGAATTATCACATCTTTTCTCTGTTTTTCAGAGGGTTTGTTTCCATTTTCTGTTGCCACACAGTACATTAATTAGCAGTCGGGCGGCACTAGGGCCAAATGATTTCCATTCTCCATCCCTAACAAAACACCAGCCCAGCCCATAACTTGCCATGTCATTCTGTAGCTACAGAAAGAGGAACACTTCCTGAGTGACAGCCCTTTACAATTTAGAAAGCACCTTTGCTCCTTTCCTCTCATTCCACCCTCACAACACGCCTCAACACAACATCATCACCCACATTTTACAAACTAAGAAACTGAGCAGCTAAGCAAAAACTTGCTTCTGGTCATACTCATAAGTGGCAGAGCCAGGACACGATCCCAGCCAATGCTCCTTCCCCCACATTGTAGGAGCCTCATATGACTTCACTTTGTAACTGTTCACTATTTTTTAAATAGAACCCTTTGCCCTGCCTTCTCTTTTAACCTCTCTCTTCTTCTATTCTGAATTTAAATGAATGAATTATTCTTTAGCTTTTCCCATCTTACCTTTCTAGCCTCACTCTCTTCATTGCTCACCATGAGCCCCAGGCAGCAGCCACATGAAAATGTGCCTGTCAGCTGGATACAATGACCTTGCTCCTGCTCACTACTGTTCCCCTGTTATGGTGCCCTTCCCTGCCTTCTCTGCCTCCCCACCTTTTCCCAAGCCAAATGCCATTTCCTCCACAGGGCCTTTTCAAATGTTCTCTCTACTTGGGTGGAAAAAGATATTCCATGCAAGTAGAAACAAAAAAGAGAGCAAGAGTAGCCAAAGTTATAACAGACAAAATAGACATTAAGCCAAAAATGGCAACAAGACAAAAGAAGGTCATTATATAATGATAAAGGGGCCAGTTCATGAAGAAAATATAACAATCATAAATATATATACCACCTGCTTGCAGATGGCATGATCTCACATACAGAAAACCCTAAAGAGTTCACCAAAAAATTTTTAGAAATAATAAATGGATAAAGTGAAGTTGCAGGATGTAAAATCAAAGCAACTAAATATATAAAGCAAATACTAACAGATCTGAATGGAGAAATAACCAGCAATACAATAATAAAAGGGGATGTCAATACTCCACTTTGAATAATGGATAGATCATCCAGTCAGAAAAGCAGTAAGGAAATATGGAATATAACTATGCATTAGACCAAGTGGACCTAACAGACACATACAAGACATTCCATTCAACAGCAACAGAATATACATCCTCCTTAAACACAGAACATCCTCCAGGATATATCATAGGTTAGGCCATAAAATGGGCAAAATAAAAAGAATTCAAGAAGATTGAAATCCTATCTAGTCTCTTTTCTGACCACAATAGTATGAAACTAGAAATAAGAAGAAGAAAACTATAATTCACAAACATATGGATATTAAACAGCACACTACTGAACAACCAATAGGTCAGAGAAATGAAAATGAGATGAATGAAATGGAAGCACACTATACCAAAACTTATGGATGCAGTAAAAGCTGTCCTAAGAAGGAACTTTATAACAATAATTCCTACATAAAGAAAAAAAAATCTCAAATAACCTAACTTTACGCTTCAAAGAAATAGAATAACAAAAAGTAAGCCCAAAGTTAGCAGAAGGAAGAAAATATCAAAGATCAGAGCAGAAATAAATGAAATAGAGACTAGAAAAACAATAGAAAAGATCAACAAAACTAAGAGGTTGTTTCTGGAAAAGATGAACTAAACTGACAAACCTCCAACCTGACTAAAAGAGAGAAAACACAAATAAACTCAGAAATTAAAGAGACATTGCAACTGATACCACAAAAAAAAAACTAAGGATCATAAGAAACTACTATAAACAATTATATATCAACGAATTAGGTGAACTAGAAGAAATGGATAATTTTCTAGAAACGTACAACTTACCAAAACTGAATCATGAAGAAACAGAGAATTTGAACAAAGCAATCACTAATAAGGAGATTAAACCAGCAATGGACCTACTTCACTAGTGAATTCCAGTGAGCATTTAAAGAATTAATACAAATCCGTCTCAAACTCTTCCAAAAAGTTAAGGAGGAAGGAACGCTTCCAAACTCGCTTTAGGAGACCAACATTATCTTCATAGGAAAGCCAGACAGAGACAAGAAACTATAAGCCAATATCCATGATAAACATAAATGCAAAACCTCAACAAATTATTAGTAAACCAAAGTCAACAGTACATTAAAAGTATAGTATACCATGATCAAGTGGAATTTATTCCTGGGATGCAAGGATGGCTCAACAGAGGTTCAACAAATCAATAAATGTGATACACTGCATTAACAAAATGAAGAATAAAAATCATATGATCATCTCACTAGACGGAGAAAAAGCACTGGACAAAACTCAAAATCATTTTATGATCAAAAACTCTCAACAAATTACATATACAAGAATGTACTACAACATAATAAAAGCCATATTTGATAAGCCCACAGGTAATATCATACTCAACGGTGAAAGGTTTAAAGTTTTTGCTCAAAATACAGAGCAAGACAAGAATGTCCATTCTCTCCATTTTTATTCAACATAATACTGGAAGTCCTGCCTGGAATAATTAGACAAGAATAAAAAAGGCATCCAAATCAGAAAGGTAGAAATAAAATTATCTCTGTTTACGGGTGGCATGATCTTACACATAGAAAACCCTAAAGACTTCACAAAAAAAATTGTTAGAACTAATAAATGAAAAGAGTTACAGGATACAACATCAGTACCTAACTTCTCAGCACCCCAACACTCTCCAGGCCTTATAGCTACCCCGTACATCTCCCGCATCCTAAGCACACCACATTTCTTTGTCACCATGCCTTTATACATGCCCGGGCCTTCATCTAGAGCACCTATGCCTCTGCCACACTTACTCCTGTACCACCATCAAGCTTCACTTTATAATGCTGTGTCTAGAACTTCACCAGGGTAGCTACTTTGTCCTCCAATGGTATATGGTACATTCTCCCTCAGAGCCCTTAGCCTGTGTTTATCTCCTGCGTGGCCCATGAGTTCCTCCAAGATGAGCTCCATAATCCCTCACCCTTGGATCTCCAGAATTTATCACAGAGCCAGGAGATCGTTGGTAACTCAGTAAATGTAGGGTTTCATTTTAGCGTAAGGAACCTCCCCTACAGGCATGTACACTCCTGGAGGATGAAGCCCTTACCCTCTGGCTCCTTAGCAGGACCATGCCCGTGGGTGGTCCTGGGTAAAGTCTTCTGGGCAGAGTAAGTGACTGGGAATGATGCTCAGAAAATAGACAAGTCGGGGGAGCGCAGGTGAGGAAGGCTGCCTGGAGGCCCGTCCCTGACAAACAAGCTTTACTCACGCTGCTCTTCCCACTCGCGTTCCTCCTTCTCGCTGGCTTGGCTCTGCAGCTGGGCCTGCTTCAGGCTCCAGTAGAGTTCCTTCGCCCTCTGCTCTTCCTGGAGGCGAATCTGCTCTTCTCCCCTCTTCCTCTCTTCTTCCTCTTTCCTCTAAAATATCAGGGGATAGCATGACATTAGGTGACAGTAACACTTCATGAGGGAGGAGAAGGCCTCTGTGGTCCTGCAGCAAGGCAGGGCTGAGCCGTCATGGGGTGGGGTGCAGTGGGCCGCTCCAGGCTGGTCTCTACCCACAGGAATGGCAACAGTTACACCTGCCCGAGGCTGCTGCAAGGGTCAAATGGGTTTACACATGCGGAACAATGTGTAGGCTCTAAAACTTCCTGCAAAGGTAAGAGGATGGTGGGCCCTCCTTGGCCACACTTCCATTCTGGGCATAGGGCTGCCTGGTCATCCTGGAGGCCAGTTAAGCATAACCTCATCTTAACCTATGTCCAGATAAGATACTTCAAAGAGAGAGCAGGTCTGGGGGCTCCAGATCTCCAGTTATGATCCCACGTTTAAGCTCCAGAAAGGTTCTGTACCTGTGTGTATGTTTGGGAATGGGTATTTTCCTCTACCTTTGTTTACATCAGGATAACATGTGTATGTCAAACATGCAATATATGCCATAGGCTTGTTATAAAAACAGCAGTTCTCCAAACCACTTCACCCCAACTTGCCCCACCCCTGCCCAGTGCCCAGAAGCCACCATTCTCAATCATTTTAGCTGTCCTATGCACTTATGTCTGTGTCTGAATAATGCTGCTAATCCTTGACTTACCAATTCTACACATGAACTACTGCCTTAGTTTTGTAGTACATGGTATATAGTACCTATATTTTCCACACAGGCACACATCCATTATTTTCCTCTCCTCACAGTAAATTTAGATCACGATATGTGGGAAATCAATAATCAGTGTAAGTACAGTTCACTGCAAAGTCTAATAGGTGCTGTTTTCACCAATTCCAAGATGTGCATTTTTTAACTTTCTAACAAAATCTCTGGAATGTGTGTGTGTCTCAATTTACAACTTGCCTCTTTGTAGGCAGTGGTTGTTTCTTCCTTCTTAAAGTAAGGATACACTTTACAATCACCTAATGGTGCCTTAAACTCAGTAAAATATGGTAGTACAATGGCTTTCTATTTCAAATAATTTTTTTTGTCTTTTCCTGAGTTAATAATCACTTTATCTTGAAGTTGAATATTGAATTTTCCCAAACCTTCCTGAGATCTGTAGTAAACCTTTCTCTGTGTTTAACCAACTGGGTTTTTATTGTAACAGGTAATATAGCACACACCTTTTCCCAAGGGATGCCCCTGTCCCCAGAAGCCATCTTTCCTTCTTCTCCCATCTCAGCCGACCACTGTCCAGGTCTCCTGTACATCCATCCACCCAGGGCTCACCTCTTAGCCTTTCCTGAGAGTAAAGCCCTTATTTTTTTTGTTCCATGTTTTACTGTTTGAGCACTTCCTCCTCCTTGGGCAGCAACGTGATTTACAGGATTTCTCAGGTGAGCAAGCACAGGGAGACACTTTCTGAGTCTCGTCTGAAAACATTTTTATGTCACTTTCACATATAACTGCTATTAGGGTTGAACACAGAATTTGATTAAAAGTCATTTTCCTGCAGAATTTGGAAGACTGTCCTTGTCTTCTGGCAACCAGTACCGCCACTCAGAGTCTCATTTTTCTGCATAAGGCACACATTTTTCTCTTACCAACCACTGGTACTCTGAACTTTTAAAAAATGTGTTGTTGTAGATTTCCTCTCATTGATCGTTTAGGCTCTCAGTCCTCTTGACCTGGAGTCTCAGGTCTTCCCGGTCTAATACCTCTTGGCTTAGGATTTCTTTGATAATTTTGTCTCTCATTTCTCTCTCTTCTCTCCAGAACTCCTATTTGTCAAATGTTGGACTTCCACATGTCTTATTATTTCCCTCTTATTTTCCTTCTCTCATCTTTTTTGTTCTACTTCCTGGCTGATCTTGCTGACTTTCTCTTCCAAACTTCCTATTCAATGTTTTATTTCAGCTATTGCATTTGTAACAGCCAAGCCCTGTTTCTCATTTTTGGTTGTTCCTTTGGCTTCATGTCACCCAATCCTGTTTCATGAATAGAACAGTTCATCTCTCACCCCATCCTGTTTCATGAATGGAATAGTTTATCTTAGAGCATTTTAGAGCTTCTTCTCATCTTCTCACCCACATTTAGATTTAGGTCTATTTCCTCTATTTTTTTTCTTTCTTTTTGATTTCTTTAAAGTTTGTTTTATTTGGTGCCTGTCATTTGTGCTGGAGGCATTCCCCAGATGTCTGATGGTCCCTGACTGTTCATATTCAGTAGAGAAAGTGTCTGAGTGAGAGACTCAGAGTGTGTAGACAGGGCTTCCTTGAGAGGTAGGCTTTGCTCTAGGATGACTGGATGAGAAACTAGCCAGTTCATGAGGAAATCTCAGGTGTAAGTAGCTAGAGGTCCTTTCTTATTATTATTCTGTGTCTTCTCCTCTCTCCTACCAGAGTGCTGTCTGACCACCAGCATCCCAGGAGTCCACGAGGGAGGCTAGCTCCAGGTCCAAGCAAGCAGGGCCCCATGTTTCATGGGAACACCATGCTTTGAAGTGCTTTCTTTGCAAATTTCTCCTTCAAGTTCCTCCAAGAACTGCCAGAAAGACTCCCCAGGACTGACAGGGGTAGTGGTGCCACCCAGGTAAGGTGTCCAAGGCCAGCCCAGGTCCCACAGGAGCCCCACCTCCCTGCTTCTCCCCTTCAGGGTGTTCTCTGACCCTCTCCTCTGAACCCTGCTGGCCAACACAATGCTTTTATTTTAGAATTGCATGACATTGCCTCACCAGAATAGAGTTAACAGGCTGATTTTATGTGGCTCAAACTGTTAATCCATTATAGACAAAGACACCATGCACAAAAACAATTTGCTGGGCTGTGCATCCCGCAGGACCCTGGTGGCAGGCCCCACTGTACAGAGGTCAGATATTTACTTAATCGTCCTGTTCCCATCTGCCCACCACCTGTTCTCTCCTCTCAGCCTGATCCACTGAGCTCTGAACCCTTCCTTTTTAACTCCCTGTCCTTCTGGTCAGAGAGGGAATATAGTAGCCCGGAGTCTCAGCTCCATGCTTCACTGTCTCAGGGGCCTCCAAGTCCTGAACCTGAACCTGAGCCAGCTCACTGCCATCACCCCTCTTTCTGCAGGTGCCATGCTGAACTCCTCACCCCTCTCCCTATCTTCCAGCTTCCACACTTTTGTGGACATTTTCTCATGTGTTCTTCCCTCTTCTCATGTTCTCTCTTTTCAGTCCTTCACTACTATTTTAATGGATCAACTGGGGAAAAGGACATAACTGAGTTTTTAATCCCTCATTTTGAAAAAAGACAAGGTTTTTGTTTCTTCTCAAATGGCATAGATTGAGGACTTTTCTCCAATTCAAGGAGCAATTCCTAATTCCAAAGAATAGACAAACTCTAAGTTCCTAATGACCCATTCTCTCAGAGCTGGGAATTAAATGCTAAAGAAGTTAAGTGACTTCATCTAGTCATTTGCCAAATATTTACTGAGTATCTAGGAGCTCAGGCCTTTGCAGGCATGGGGAATAAGGCTGTGAGCAAAACAGGTACAGGCCCATTCTCTCCGAGCCTGCCTTCTGGTGGGGGAGAAACTTTAACCAAATGAAAATCAAGAAAGATCAGAAAATAATAAACAGGGCATGGAGAATTAAAACAAGGTAAGTGACAGAGAGAATCTAGAAGGCCACCTTAGACAATTGACCAGAAGTCCTCTCCAAAGGAGTAATGAGACCTGATGCCTGAACAGCAAGAAAGGGGCCAATAAGTGAGTATCAGGGAGAAGAAAACTCCAGGCAGAGGGAGAGGGAACCACCAGCCCAGTGGCCCTCATGCTGCAAATGGACTTAGCATGTTTGAGTATACAATTATCCCCTGTGGCTGGAGGAAAAAAGTCAGAATTGTATTTTTGATAAGTTTGAGATGCCATCCAACATCCAAGAGGCCTGTCATTGGAAAGGGATGCATGGCCTGCAGCTTAAGGGCCAGTTCAGGCTGAAGATACTGAAAGAGAAGTCATCTGCGTAGATGATGTTTCTCAGCCACGACATAATGCCATCCCTGAAAGAAAGAATGTAGGTGAAAAGAAGACAACCAGAGCATCTGGGAACACTTTCAGGAGAAAGAGGTGGAGCCAGAAAAGAAGACTGAGAAGGAAAGCTAAGGGGTCAGAGAAAAACCCAGAAGGGGTGATGTCTCTTGGGGGAGCCAAGAGAAAGGAACACTTCAAGTAAAGGGGAATGGTAAACTGAGCCGTGGGCTGCTGAGACACGGCTAAGATAAGGAGGGAAGCCATGAGGGACTGCCAACATGGCCATGGGACATGAGGGGAATGCCCTGGGGGTGGAGGGACGTGCGGGAGGCAGTGGAAATGACTGCAGATAGAACATGTCAGGACACTCCCTGTGAAAAGGAGAGCAGAGACAGGGACAGCTGGAGGGGAAGTTGGGTTAAGATAGAAATGGGAGGTTGATTGGTTTTAAGACAGGAAATTCCAGAGCAGAGAGTTAATGACTGATACCATACTGAACTCAAAGCCTGTCTGAGCAGAATAAGCTGAGGATTCCCTGAAAGTTGTAGTTCACCTTCATCAGTCACTAGCATCTCAGCAGAGCAAAAACCACTCTCTACCCTGTCACCACACTCCACAGTTTATGCAGTGGGTTTCCCACTCTTCTTCCAGGGCTCCATGATCTCTGACTGCATTCATTACCAGTCATTCAACACACATAGCACCAACGAAGCCAGTTTCCACCCAGCCACTTCACAGCTATCACTTATGAGGATCCCAGTTATACTGAATAAGGGCCCACCCAAAAGACCTCATTTTAATTCAATTGCCTCTTTAAAGACCTTAACTCTAAACATGCTCATGTTCTGAGATGAATTTTAGGGGGGCACGATTTAGCCCATACCAGACACTGCACCCCAGAAAAGGGTCATTTCTGACACTTAGCTTAAAGTCCTCCTTGTTCAGCCACATTGTGGCAAATGGCAGGGTCTCCTTCTTTGTGAGGACTGAATGA